CCCCCCCCCCCCCCCCCCCCCCCGCCGTCGTCATCGTCGCCACCGTCAGCCAACCGCTGCGCTGCACGGTTCGCGCGCTTCTGCAGCGTGGCGCCGCGCGCGGCGCCACACAGAACTACCTCCGCCACCGATCGCCGACAGGCGGCGCTGACGCGTGCGCGCACGCCGCAGCGCGACGAATTGCTCCGAAAACGAGATACATAATTATTACGACGTCGCTGTTTTCCAATTTTAGTAAACATTTCTTTTAGAATATTTCATGTAACTTTTTAGAATTTTTACATAAACCTTAGAATTTCTGTATGATTTTATAACTGTTTAGAAAATTTTTCCAGTTTATTTTATACAAATTAAAACAGTTCTTTCCTAATGAAAATTTTTCTAAAAATTCTTCATATAACTTTTCAAAAATTTTCGGATTTTTATATAAATTTTAGAATTTTTTTTAGGGCGGTATTCATAGTCTGTTCGTATTTCAAGACTGTCTTAAGTAATAATGTCTTAATAAGACGCTAACGACCTTCTGATTGGTTTGTGACTTTTTAATACTGTAGATACTTAAGACGATCTTGAATATAAGATTTGACTATAGCTGATATTCCATAGTCAGTTCTTATTTTAAGACCGTGTTAAGTATTGTCTTAAATCGTTGATGCGGCCCTCTGATTGGTTCATGACTTCTTAAGACTGTACTTAAGACGGTTTTGAATATAAGATCTTAGGCCGGTATTCATAGTCAGATCTTATATTTAAGACCGTCTTAAGTTCTGCCTTGAGGTGTCATGAACCAATCAGAGGGTCGCATTGGCATCTTAAGGCATTACTTAAGACGGTCTTGAAATAAGAACCAACTATGAATACCGACTTTAGAATCTTTGTAATCGTATAACTTTTTAGAATATTTTTCCAGATTTTTTATACAAATTGAAACAATTCGCCTAATAAAAATTTTTTTTAGAATTCTTCATACAATTTTTATATAAATTTCAGAAATTTTCAGTTTCTGTATTATATAATTTTTTGAAAAATTTCTCAAATTTTTTACATGAATTGAAACACTTTTCAGAAATAAAAACCTATCTTTTCTAGAACAAATACTTCATATACGTAAAATCTAAAATATTCTGAGACTTTTAAAATTTTTTATTCTATAATTTCTAAAAAAACTTATAAAATCTGAAAAAGTTTAAGGTAAGGTTTTTTCAGAAATCTTCATAAATTTAAAATATAATTTTTTTTAAATATAATGATAAGATATGCGAATTCTTCTTCACCAGAATCATTGATAAACGCAATTAATACATTTTTAATGGAAATATTAGATGCTTATTAATTTTCTTGGCATAACTTGAGTAATACAAATACTAAACACTGAATTTTATTAGCAGTTAGTTTATTAATCAATAACTAAAATAATTTTGTATTATATATACAAAATGATACAAAATTATCATAAAATATAGAATTTATTTTATCATGTATTTTGTGCATCCTGTTTACATCTCTTTTTATTATGGTTCTTTACAATATTATTCTTCTTATCATTCTTCATCTTGATTCGCTTTAATGGTTTTTTCACCATTGGTTGTTCTTTCACCAACTCATTCTCGTCCATTGGCTCGATTACTTGTCCAAGTTTGGTCTTTACTGCCGGCTGAATGAGTCGCACATGAGCGTTCATTGGGACGAAGGTCCTACTGATGGGGGCTCTGATGGTCGCTTCAAAGTCCTTAACTCTGGTAAACGGATAGGGTAACTCTTTGACGAGATGTTTCTTCAATTTCTCGTTTTCATGTTCGAATACTATGACATTACCCTGATTTTCGGGTTTACGTGGCATTTGCTTGGGAACATTCAATATAAATCGGCTCTTCTTACGAGCCGCTTTACTCTTCTTGATGTTTGGTCCACCCCAGCTTCCCCATCCGGGTAGACTCAAATCAATATTCTGCGGCTGCGATTTTTTCATCTAGAATCATTTTGAATATATTAGATTATTATAACAGTTTTTATGTAGAAAAATAAAATACAATATCATTCAATATTTATTATAAATATCTATCTTTCAAATTTAAGGAAACTGATGAGCGTATACAAACTATATACATACAAGAGAGAAATACAGTTTTTATTTAAAAATCTTATTATTATGTACCTCCTCTTCCTTTTCTTTCCTAAATTCTTCAACAACATCGTCGTCCGCAAATGCCTCACTCATTATTCTATGCGTTTCCTCTTCCTGTTCGCTATCATCATCCCCGGCTGTAGCCACATCTGGCAGTTGCGTCTTTAAGTGTTTAGGCTTTATATTGACATATTTTTTCGGATCTATCTCCATTTCATTACTAGTGCCAGCCGGTTCCTGTATCGTATTTGCTATTTTCTTTAAACTCGTCAAATTGCTTTCCTCATGTACATTTTCCCTGGAAGTGGTTTCCTCCAATTCATGTGCATTTTCCCTGGAAGTGGTTTCCTTCAATTCATGTACATTTTCCCTGGAAGTGGTTTCCTCCAATTCATGTACATTTTCCCTGGAAGTGGTTTCCTCCAATTCATTACGTTTGTTTTTTGTATTACGTTTGTTTTTTCGTAGAGAACTGCTTTTCTCATTGCCGTGTAATTTACTCTTTGTATCATTTGCATTTGCTTGCAAAGTACTATTTTTCTCATTGTTGCAGAGTTTATTTTTTGTATCGTTTGTACTTACTTGTAAAGTACTACTCTTTTTAGTGTGATATGTCTCTTTTTTCTTTTCCGGCATGATTTCATTCAAAGTTTCATCTTTTTTTGTCTTCTCTCCTTTCGTCTGCTGTTTTTTATTGTAGAATTTCCGACAAAGCTTAATAAAGTCTTCAATTTCGGATTCAGTTTTTATGTTGCTTTCCTTATCATTTAGTGATGTCTCATCTTCTTTATCTTCTTCATATTCTTTATCTTCCACATCTTCTACATTTTCTTCATCTTCCTCAGATTCATCACTGTCTGTTCTCCTAACTTTTTGCGTCAATTCTTTACTAATGGCCAATTGTTCAGTAAGTATTTGTCGTGTCTAACAAAAAAAATTCGTTATTATATTTTCTTGTTCTTAATCAGACATTTTTATTAAAGGTTTGTAATATTTAAATGTTTGTAATATTTAATTATTTTTAAAAATATATATTTAGATATACACATTTTTATTAAAATAATTTCTATCAAAAATAAATGATTTTGTTTAGATCTTAAATCAAAATAATACTCACTTCCTTATTATATTTGGCTTTAATCTGTTTATTCCTAGCCCACTGGCCCGTGTTTTTATGCCTTAATGACATTCTCTCTTCAGCACGAGTTTTGTCTAACTGTGCCAACTTTACCAGAGCTTCTTCTGGATTACTATCTTTTAATTTTTCAAAATCCTTTAATTGCTGCTTGATTTTATCCTTCCGCTGAATGCGATGGAACTTCTTGCTCTTTATCTTACGCTGACGATGCGCTTTCGCCTCTTTGTATGACTGAAAGTGCAAAGAAATTAAAAACAATTCTTCATTAAATCTGGTTCTTACCTTTTTTAGTCATGCTAGTATATCGCTTAATATTATAACTGCATAATATTTCTGTACCTGTTGTGCCCTGAGTCTGGCAGCTTCCTTCCTCCTCAAAATTACCTCTTCCAGTGTCATTTTGTATTTATTGCCTTTCTCCTCTTCTTTGTCAGCAGGATACAGCAATGCTGGATCCAGCTCCTCAAACTTCTTCATTAAATCAGATTTCGTACTGAATCCTCTTAGAAATTCAGGAATTTTTGAAGTGCGAGAATCCTTTATTGGTGCTAAACGTTTCAATGGGAAGGATAGCTGTTCTGCTGTCCTGTTCCTGGTTACTACACTGTCCCATTTTTGCAATTCATTTTTAACCTTCTCATAACCAACTGTCCTTTTTATCTACAAAGATTTGGATTCTCCTTTTATTTCAAGATTAGATAAATTTTGTTAGAAATTACAATTATAAAAATAAATAAGATAAGATGAAAATAATATAGATAATATTGAAAAAGATTAACACCAATTGATCAATTTATAATTTTAAATGTGAAAAGAGATAATTGTTTGAATTGAGGTAGTAAATTAATGGATCGAAACATAGAATCATTGTTGTACAATTAGATAAAAATATATTAATTAGTATGTAAAACTATTTTGTTAATCTTTTTTATCCTCATTATTTTTAACCTTCCGTTGGCAAGGTGGATCTTCAGGACATGTCCAGCAAGGTCGATCCGACCCCGTGCTCATTTTTCTAATTATTGTACAAAATGAATGAAAGAAGTAAATCACAACATGAAACTTTATCCCCTATTTATTTATAAATAATAATATAATTTTATATACATTTATATTTAGCTCATTGCCTTAGTCTCAAAATAGTAAACAAATATCATTATAAAATGTTACATTTCATCTAAATTCATATCATAAAAGCAGCATGGACATAATATTTTACTATGCTGCGAACATATACAAGTATCACATTTGATACAGAACTGTTGTCCTTTTTTGTCCTTTTTTCTATCGCAGTAATAACATCTTTTTTTTCCTTTTGATTGCTCAATAACAAGATTTTCTTCCTTTTCTACTCCCAAAGTCTTACAAATTATGACTCGCAAATCTTTTGGAAGATGGTCGTTTTTCATTCTTTTTTCCATCAACGGTTTGGTCAAAGCCAATGCAAGATTTTTTAGAAAAATGTTGCGTGCATTGTTTGAGTAAGAGTCCATATCAAGATTCGATTTATAAAGTATAAAACTATTAACTGTGCAGCAATATCTAGAATTTCATAAAAGAATCGCATGGGTCAACGCCCACTTATCCTCTTTGTTGTTTTATCATGACAAAGTTTATCGAGGACATCCACAACATTCTTTATCATATCATAAAATTCAACAATCTCAGGTTTCTTTGATTTTTCGTTTATTTTACCAGTAAAATGCATAGAAGAAATTAAAAGTACTTTTTTGATTTTTTTTTTAAAGCATAAGAAATTAGCATTTGATCTGATTGATAAAGAAAATGAGAAGACATCAGTGGTCCACCTATCGATATTGATGGAGATATTTGGGATTTGTTGTTTCGTAAAGTCCCCACAATAGTATTCTTCTTGCTTAATTCATCAGTCAACTCGTAAGACGAAAACCAATTGTTAGTGGTAATATTCCTGTTACTGCCATAAAGAGGTTTAGTTAGCCGTAACACATATTGAGTAGATATTGAGAAATTATCTTTCTTTTTTTTTCTTTCCTTACATATGGTATTCCTCCCAAAAAATAAGAGATTTTAGCATCACACAGTGAAATTACTTTAAGCCCATATTTACCAGGTTTCATTGGAATGCATATCTTGAAGGGACATTTCCTACAAAAGCTGAGAAACATCTCATCAACAGTAATATATTCAGATGGTGTATAGACTTTTACACAGTTCTTTTCAAATGTATTCCATATATCCCGAAATGCAGTAAATTTGTCATTGGACTTTCGAATTTCTCTCGTGTCTTTATCATCAAATCTCATGTTCTTGAGAAGAAAGTCAAATCTTTTCTTTGACATTGTGCTTCTAAATAATGAGGGACCGTATATGGGAGAAAACATATCAGTGTTTAATTCTGATTCTTTTTAAATAGCACTCATATATAATAATCCTATTGTAGCTTTGATCTCCACAGCATCGGTGAAAGATATATATCATTGGACTGAATTGTATCCAAGTTTCATCTTTTCAATTTCTTGATTGGTATAGCGCACAATTTTGTCTATCATTTCATCTGTAATGAACAACGAAAATAACTGTAATAAGTGTAACTCATTTGTTATTTCTTGCACTTCGGTTTTAGGTCCTGGAAGATGAGTTACTGTATTTGTAGCTGAAGTTTTAAAAATTTTGAACTTATAGGTTTGTCAGTCCAAATTGTTTCATTATCTTTCCCAAGTTCAAAATTTCTGTTGTCATTTAAGTTATAAGTAAAATTTTCTCTGTTGTCCCTTAAGTCTTCTACATCGAAATCGTCGAATTCATTATCGTCATCACATAAAATATTGTCATCTGTTTCTGAGCAAGTTTCGCCAGTTTCATCGAAAACCTTATCCAAATCTTCGTCAAAATCTTCTTGTTTACATTCCATCTCTTGCAGTATCTCATCTTTAGGAGTAACAAATTCTGTTTTTTATTCCGTGAAAGTTGTTCACTGGAAAGAGAAAGAAATAAACTAAAAGAAATCTGTAACGTTGATAGCAAGGTGGGGTCAATTTGACTCGATTCAAGAGCTTTGATATAAATAAAAATTGGAAAAATATGCTCACTTACCTAAACGATTTCGACCGCTAAGACAGTAAACGAGTTGAAGATATTATCGGAGACCACATAAACTTAAGATAAACAGTGCATGCGCGATATAAAATAAACGAAACGTGGGGTCATTTTTACCTCAACCTTACCAACGTAGGGTTAGTCTGTTAAGCTTTGAGATCATTTTTTATAATAATGATGAAAAGAAGTCATTAATTTCAACTTAATAAGATTAATTTACTCTTTCAGCTGCTGGTTTCTCCAATGGTTTAGAAAGAACTTTGTTCTTTTGCTGAATGTATCGAAGTTTCTTGGTGAGATTGCTCTGATCCCCTTTTCGCTCCAACGATTTGATCAGATCCTTCACATGTATCGTATCCTTGTTTGTTACTCCGCTTTTCACAAGATGATACTCCGATACTTCTAAACTAGGCTCACTACGTTCTGCTTTCTTCACTCTGTTAAAAAGGAAAAATATAATAAAAGGAATATTAAGACATACAAAAAGCCAAGCTAGAATTTTAAGCATTCTGATCGTAACTTTATCGTTATTCCTTACCTTTGCCTCTTATCGAGCTGCGTCACAGCCTTGATAAGTTTCGCATGATCTTTGGCAACTTCCTGATCGCTATCGTATAAATTCTCACTTCCTTCCGTATCACTCATTTTCGTGGTCGCATAAGTCCTACTAGTATTGTGATACAAACACTACAAACTAACCTACAAATAGTACGAATGTTTCCAGCCCACGAGGCAGAAACGCTTTCTGCGCATGCGCGGCGAATGCGATCTTAGCGCAGCATTTAAAGGGATCCTAAAACCGTCTAAATTACTAAATTACGATTTTTGTATAACAATTATTCTTTTCCTCTTTTACAGATTTGAAAATCCTTTTCCAGGATTAAATTATACGCATTAATACGTGTCTGTGAGGTAAAGTTTATGCCGAGAATAACAAAAAATTTCGAAATTGAAATTATAAGACAATTTTGTCGTTCTCGGCATAAACTCCACCTCACAGACACGTATTTTAATTCTGGGAAAGAATTTTCGAATCTGTAAAAGAGGAAAAAAGTAAGTCCTTGCAAAGCACGTAATTTCGTTTTAGAAGAAATATATTTTTTTCTACGCTTTGAATCTTAATGCCACAAACTCAGTATTGTTCGTTCAAGTAATCAAAATTCCATCTCACGCTTATTTTCAATCTACTGTAAAACTTTTATATTAACCCATTAAGGACCGTTGATCGATTTTTCGATCAAAAAAATAGGTCAACTTTGCGAAATTTTTGGCAAGTAGGCTCCTTAAGGGCATAGTAGCTTGCCCTTAAAAGGATTTTAAATTTTGAGAAAAAAAAATTTGTCTTGGTCCTTAATGGGTTAAGCAAATGTTAACTTCAGGTGACAGTTGTATGTGCCAGAAAAAATGAATTAATTTTTTTTCCGATTTTCTCGTAAAGTTGTGTTTTCCGGGATTTCTTTTTATGCGTTCTTTAATTCTGTAAAAAAAATTTTGCAATCCGCGAATTCGGAGATTTCTCTTAAAACGTAATCATGGTAAAACAGGATGACTTTAGGATCCCCTAATAATAATACTAATTATTAAAAAAATTGAAATTTTAAATTCTCTAAGCTAATCTCTATATAGCAAGCTTTTCTTTATATTAAACATATTTAATAAATCTTAACTAATCAATCTTTATAGTAAATACTATTATTTTTTATGCTTATCTTTAATGCTTACAAAAAATTAAATTTTAATTTACAAACGCAGATTTTATTAAACATTTTTACTAAACATTGTTTTTAAACATTAATGTCGTTAAGAAATATAGATCTTCAGTATTGGCACATTGACAGTGATTATCACAATGCAACCTAAGATATAATGAAGTACAAAATTTTCATTTTTCGATATTAAAATTTTTATTAGAAAATATTTCTGGTTAATTAAAAATAGTGCGATCTATTAAATAATTACAAAGATAATAAGGGATTACAGTAACGATGAAAATAATAACTGAATTCATTTATACTACAAAATTCGTTTTTACCGCTACAATAAAAAAAACTAACGTTATCGAAAAAAAGTAACGAAAGCTGTAATGACAAGTAACGCGTTATTTCCCTGATATAACTTACATCGCATATACATATCACGTACATACATCACGTGTACGTATAATAAGAGCAAAGAATTTATTTTATAGAAAAAAATTCTTCATTAGTATTAATCTGTCGCATATAACTCTTACAAATTTATATTCTAAAAGCATATTTATATTTGACAGACATTTTAATAATTCTAACACTTAACATAAGTAATAATAATATTATATAAAAGAATAAATAATAAATCGATATATGAATAACACAGTTAAGTAGAAAAATACCTCGCCCATTCGGCCTAACTAGATCTCAGTGCTTAACAATATTATTAAATAATATTTTCATAATTAATTGTGTTATTCACATATGATCTAATATCATATATTTCACGCGCTTGTAACAAACATTTCCTTAATGTATACTAGTTATAACGATAACATTCATGCTTTCCAGCAAGCGACAATGTGACACAATGATCATCTTTCAAACCCACAAGGACTTCTTATAAATCAAAAGAATCAGGAAAGAGCATGGGCAATAGGAGTCAAAACGCGGAAGACGTTGCGCAAATAATACGACTATGAAGCGTAAAAAACTTCTTTATTTGATAAACGCGCTCACATGTTTCGGCTCATTTTTTAGTCTTCTTCAGAGACAACATACATTCACGTATATAAAAAGTAACAAAGATTAATTTGTCATGGTGAGCTCTCCCGTATCGAGAATATAATTGTCAATTTGAACTCAGATAAAAATTTATTTTCGTTTTTCTTTTTTCTTTCTTTTATTTTTATCTGAATTCAAATTGACAATTATATTCTCGATACGGGAGAGCTCACCATGACAAATTAATCTTTGTTACTTTTTATATACGTGAATGTATGTTGTCTCTGAAGAAGCAAACGATAAGAATGTAATAATTCATTGTATCATTACACTGTGTCATCTGTGTCGCTTACTAGAAAGCACACTAGTAGTCATTTATTACTGCAGTTTCTTTAGTAGCACTAGCATATAATTTGTCTGACGACATAAGTGACAAATGTTTTTCTTCGATCGTCATATTCATTGATGTTTCTCCTCTCGCCTTCAATGCAGATTTAAAAACGCAAATGGCGTTAACCGAAGCCGCCGAAAGTTTGTTGCGTTTTTTCGAAGTTAAATCATACACGATGGAAACCATGGTCTTCGGATCGCCGTTTGAATTGGGAAGTGAACGGATAGCATTTAGAATGTTTATTAGATTTGGATATTTGGCTATATTATTTGGATAAGAAGATTGTAAAATTTTTTTCCACATATTGTCGAAATTTAATTTAGAGAGACTTTGTTTCTCGTTCGTGGTAAAATCTGATGACAGTGCAACCCATTCCTCCTTTAAACCGTCTTCGTCGAAATCACCAATAGTTTGAGCTACAAAAGAAACATCTGCGAATGATGTTTCTCTATCATTACTGAATAAATGTAAGGAAGGTTTAAAAACTTGTAATTTCGATAAAAATACATTGTCCACAGGCAACGTCTTACGAATGTTTTCTGCAGCAGTTACATAAAACTTTAAGCAGTTCTTTCGAATTGTTTCAACTTCGTCTTCGTGTCCATGCTCCATTAATTTCTGAAGATATTTTTCACATTCTGATCCCAATGTAATTTGATGCAGATCTTTTTGATTTTTCTGTAAAGATAATACTACATCTGTAGAGAAAGGTTTTAAATGCTCCTCTTTTAAAAAATTTTGGCAGATTTGAAGAAGAAAGTTCAAAGATTTGGGTTGTAAAATATGTATCCGTGTATCTAATGCTTGAAAAAAAATATTGAATTTGTTGAAGAAATGTAATGCGTACTCTAAAAATAAAAAATAAGCTTTTAACTCTATATTATCCATCATAGACAACAGACATTCTTCAAATCTTGTTTTCTCGTTCACAGATATTTCATTAAGAAAATGTTTAATTGTGTCCCAAGATTCCAAAAGTTTTTTTACACACAAGTAGTGAGAACGCCAACGTGTATCATTTAATCGTGTTATTCTATTATTGTTTTCTTGGAAATATTCACAAAATTCAGAAAAAACGGACGAACATTTTGGACTACAGTTAATATAATCGCCAATTTTTGTAATAAATTCCTCGCAAGCTATAGGTATTTCATTGCATGCAGCATGAGCTGCTAACATGGTGGCATAACAGGGACAGGAAAATGTTAACAAATGCGGGCATTCTTCTTCTAATTTTTCTTTGAATAATAAATGTTTCCCTGTCATGGTAGATGCACTGTCACACGACAGGGCGACAATATTCAAAAACAATATCTGTAACTTCCACATTTCGCATTTAAATGCAAGGAACAATTTTTCCGCATTGGAATCTTTGACATCAATGTCAATTAGTTTAACTAATTGTGATCGAATGTCTAATGTATCCGGATCAACATAACGAACGAGAAAAGTCATCCATTTCTCATTGGCAGACGTTTCATTGATGAATATCGTAAACTTTGTGTTCTGAATTTTATTGACCACACGTTCCGTCTCGATTGGGCACAAAACATTTGTAATAATGTTTTTACATTTCGTACGACCCATGCTCATGGCTTTTAACACGTTAGGATCTTCTCCTACATGTCGAAAAAAACTAAGAATTTCTTTTGCATTTTGGTGGGGAATATTTTTGTCGGCAATGAATGCGGCAAATCTAATTTCTGCGGATTTTTTACGCTCTTCAAACGACGAAAGCAATTCAGTTTGCGTAGCCCGATTATGCGTAGCCTGCATGTCGTCATACGATTGCGAATCGTTATTCGATTGACTTACTTCGATAGAATTATCTTTATTTTTATTTATATGTGCTTTGGATTTTGAGTGACGAATGATTTGCGATAAACCACCAGCAACAGATTTGTCACAAGTTAAACAAAAAAATAAACTTGGATCGTGTGGCACTTCGCGTAACCAGCTTTTAAATTCCGCTCTATCCAACCATTTCTGTTGAAATATAGATCTACGAGATTTTTTTTCTAAAAAACTATCATCATCGCTACTGTGATCTTTATTACTATTATTTTTATGATGCGCGGACTCCACATGCCTCGAGATATGTGTTGAACCGCACGAAAAATTTTTATCGCATATAGTGCAGTGATAAAGGGTATTATCAGACGGTACTTCTCGTATCCACGACTTATACCGCACATCCATGAGCCAAGCTTCTGAAAACGTTCGCTTAGGTTTTTTGGTCAATTTAACATTCGATTCCATGTCGATTATCAAAAAATGAAAAAATTGAAAAATACAATAACGTTAATAAGTGAGTCGTTATTGTGAGAATAATGTGTCCATCAAATCAGCAAACAGAGGTCGACAAGACAATCCGAAGAAGAATAGACGTCATTTATGACGTCTAATAAATAACATCTACTGATCGTGTAATAATTGTGAAAAAATAGACTTATTATAACGCTTGGTAGATGTACTTATATCATTAAAATGTACAATGTGTACTTAATACAATATGTAAAAATTGTTCAACGTAAGTGCGACTTCGAGAAAGAGAGAAAGAAAAATAGACGTCTCTCACGAGAAATCGTTATCCAGTATTTGCTTAGGAGTTCAAACTGTCAACTACGTCGCAAGTCTGCATCAGCAGTGGAGGTGTTCAGAATTTCTCAAAAATTTTCAAGCCACAGGTTCCCCGAGAGGTTCCTTCAGTTATAAATTCAGCTTTTTTTCATTCGCAGAAGCGGACTCTCGGATTTTCCTCAGATGTATCTGATATGCAGTCGATGGGGAGATCACTTTGTCAGGTTTATTTCTTTGATGCCTTATAATCGTGCGGCTTTACTGCCGTCCGCTCTCCTGTTATTTAAACATAAAGACAATGTTTTTATAATCGAATTAGATAGACCAGGAAGTCAAACTTGAAAAGACAGATTTTGAGCAAAGTCTACTATGAAGAGTTACTCCAAAAATACAGGTTTTTTTTCGCCTAATATATAATCTTCGAAATTTGAATCGTATTGTATGCTAAGTGATGTTATAATGGAACATAAATGTCAAAAAAATTTTTAAGGAGGTTCTTCAGTCATTTGACATAATGTAAGAACTTGATCAAATTTTGAGAATAAATTTGTTATAAAAATAGAGGCATT